AGGAAATCAAACATCCCCTATTCTAGGAACTATAATTTTATACCTACTAAAAATCTAGAAATAAATTTAAAAGCATAATTTTCACCAGTGATACCCAAAATTTCCAAATATGGAACATTTTTATTATCAAATGTACTCTTTCAAAGAAGCTACAATTTAAAACCATGAATTCATTTGTAACAACATATACGAAATAGGATATATAATTATGAAACATGCATATGATATATGTACATGGAATACACTTCCGTTCACTTGCTAGAATGACAGAGTGCCCAATTTCTCTATCTCTGCCTTATTTTTAATTTTAAATAAACATTAGGTTTACTCTTAGTACAGATGCATGTCGATACATCCAAGTCAGACCGCTGATAATTCCTTCAGAACAAACGCAATGTAGCACCACATACTTAGGATTCACCGTTGTCCCTGCACTTTAGGTCAACCAGTTTCTCAAGCAAGAACTCAAGTCCTCCCAAGCCCTCTTTCTCTAACACAGCTAATGTGTCACAGCTCCTCCTGGCGGTACTAGGTGAAAGAGCTTCAGGTCCCAAGCTCTGCTGAAGTAACTGTTAATTCCTAAACACCACCATAAAATTATGCACATGCATGAACAATATCATGAACATGCTTTGGCATAGGTGTTTTGAACAAATCAACCAGAAACCCTCCCCTCATTGTGCTTTCATTTTATCGTTAGGGAAAGTTAATAAACAAACAATATTTCTATTGCTGTCCAAGACCCTCCTTCTTGAGTATCCACCCCAAAAGGACTGCCATCACTCAGGGAAATAGGGTGATTGGTGTTATCTTAGTCACCTTCTTGTCTCTGAGACACAATAAAGGACATATACAACTTAAGGAAGGAGATATTTAGTGTGGCTCCCAGGTTGTAGAAGTTTGAATTATAGACAGATGGCTCCAAGGAAGGGCAGCATGGCAGCAGAGAAACAGCTCATGTCATGGCAAACAGGAAGCAGAGAGCAACCAAGGGAAGAGGGAGGGAGATAGACCCTTCCAGATCATCCCCCAGTGACCACCTCCTCTAACCAGGCATCACCTCCCAAATCACATTTAGCAATATACTCATGCATTAGTGGACTAATCCACTGATGACTATCACACCCCCATGATCCAATCACTCCTGAAAGCCCAATAGAAGGAATATAAACCCTATCAGGTCCAATCAGTGTCTCCTTGTCCCAGAGTATGGACAGAGTCACAGGACAAGGGAACAAGCAGATATTCTTCGACACTTATGTTTCCTTGAGAAGTAAACTCACATGTAGCATCACTACTGCTATTTATCCAAATTCTGGTTTAATCAGGGACATTGGTTTCCTAACCTGTTACTGCCAAAACACAGATCAGTAACAAGAATTATTGCTCTGACATAATGCATACAAACAAAAAGGACCCACATTTAGAGAGCAGAATATCTTTTAGTAGATTTAATATTTTAGAACAGAAAACTCTTCTCCACGTATTTAGTTTACTTTTCATTTTTTTTGCAAAACTGCAGATTGAACCCAGGGTAGTTACACTGAGGGAAATACCAAATTTTTGAATATATTTTTGAAACACCATCTGGCTAAGTTGCTAACTTGGCCAGATGAGATTCTTCTGTTCTAGTTTCTGCAGGGCATTTATCATGAATGGAGCAGAATTTTGTCAAAGGCATTTGCTACACCTATTGAAATAATCATGTGACTTTTATTTTTGATTCTATTTATGCTTTTTATTACATGTGTTGATTTGCATATGATGAACCATCTCTGTATTCCTGGAATGAAACCAAATTGGTCACGTCCTATAAGGTTTTTAATGTGTTATGTAATTGTGTTTGTAAGAATTTACTGAAGAACATCATCAAGGATTTGGTCGACTCTTTTATTTTTTGTTGAGTTGTCATCTGGTTTTAAGATCAAGGTGAACTTGGAGGCATTATTCTATTTTTATTTCATACAACAGTTTTAGGAGAATTTGTGTTAGTTCTTTAAAGATGTAAAATTTAGCAAACTGCTTGTC